ATTGTATATAGTTATTTTGTTTTTTAATGAAATGAATAAATTTTTTGAATTAAAAAATTATTGAATTGAATCATGGCAACCCTGATCAAAATCTCCAATAATTCTGGGATACTAAAGCAAAAATTAAATTTAATTCACTGTGTGTGCACGCACCGGACTTCTCACGTTTGTTTACAAGTGTTTTTCTGTCCTCTCAGCCTCCACTCGTAAGGTGTATGAGAAGAAGCTGCAGAAGCTTTTAGACGAGCCTGCAGCTGAGCCGGACGCTCCTACAGATGTCACAACTCTCCCCAAAGTAGACAGCAACCAGAACGGCAACACAAACTCTGACCAGTATAGTGACAAAGAAGATGGTGAGTTCTGATCACATGTGTGTTTCAGTCTGCTGGAGAATGCAGCTGCACCAGGGTATTTATTTATTTATTTATTTTTATTTTTGTAAATACTAAGTGGAAAGCACATTATAGTAGTTTCTCTCAGTTCTGTTATCACTTAAACTTCTCCAGAGGAGACTGCTGCCCCTGAACCAGAACCAGTTCCTGTGGTGGAGAAGTCTGTGAGGAGCAGAGGGAAAACTCCCGTCACCGTCAGAACCAGCAGCAGACGACAAACCAAAGTGAGTCGCATTTTCCTGTTCGCTCAGTAATGGAGGCCAACGTATAGTTTGAGTGTGTGGGATCAAGTTTTACATTCCACTGACAGGTGGTGGTGGAGGAGGTTGTTGTTTTTGAGGAGACCCCAAAAAAGACCAGCAAAAGTGTGGTTGAAGATATCCTTGCCAATGAAATAAGCACACCAACAGGCATCAGGTAACATTCTAATTGTTCTTTTGATGCTAATTAATGCACAGATGCAAGCTAATAAACTTTACTTCCTGAGCTAAAAGTCGGTGTTTCTTCTATCAGTGCGACTTGCAGGCGTCCAATCAGAGGAGCAGCTGGCCGGCCTTTAAAACCCAGTGAGTACTGGCTGGACGAGTCCCGCATGCAGGGCAGCATCCGCACAGAGAGCCGCACCTACTCCGAGTCGTTCTCCCAGCCGAGCGCGTCCGCCTCCTCGAGCAAAGCTCCCGCCCGGCGAGGCTTCCTGTCGCTCCTGCTGAAGCTCCTGCTCCTCGTGGCGGTGGCCGCCTCTCTCTACTACGCCTACCAGAACCTGAGCCCTGATCAGATCAGCACCCTCAGAGGCCTCCTGGACAGCGTGATTGTCCCAGTCCAAAGCGCCGTGGAGACGGCAGCCACCTCCCTGGGCATCGGTGGCGGCGGCGCCGAGAACACTGGCAACTAAAGACCCTCAGCGTTTCCACACCATGCCCAGATCACCTCCCTGCCACAGCAAACCACAACTTCAGCAGCGGACTTATTTCGCTCTGTTTTTTTTTTTTTTTTCTAAACGTTTGGACGAGGAACACAAATTTAATTGGAACGAACTTCCTCTTGCCAGACTTCAGCTTTCCTCCCACCACAAGAGGGCAGTATACTCGAGCAGTAGCTTCTGGATGTGGCAGTCAGAAGAAACTGATTTTAAATGTTGATTTTTCTTTTTTCTTATATATATTTTTTTAAATCTGTGAATCGTTTTTGTCTTTGTGCATTTAATCCTTAAATGTAGAAACGAGCGTGAGCGGGAGAGGCCAGTTTACTTGTGCATGGTTTGTAGTTCTTGGCAGTCATACTGTAGTTTTTAACCAACGCTTTGTGTCAAGTGTTGTCCTGGAACGCTTGGACACGTCAGCACTTGACTCCCTCCCGTATGTGTTTCTTTTTCTTCACATACAAAGCAGCGCTTCTACTAAAATCATGTTTTCATGTTTCTGTGATAAATTCCAAAATTTTCTTTGTGGCTGTAGAGGTAGGTCGGTCGAGTGACTTGTTGTTTCCGTGGTGCTCAGGTTGATTCATTTCAGGTGTTCGGTGGTGGGAGGAGACGAAATCAGAACAGCCGGTTAAAACCATCTCTCCCAAAGGCTGGTCCGTGTTCAAACTGTGATCAAGAATATTTACAAATCAGTGAAGTGGAGATTTAATTGATCATGAATTAAAGTTGGGGAAAAAGTTGACATAAATCCCAAGTAAAAGCGCTTGTTAGTATTACTGTGTATTTGACAGACTTGTTGAGGAGACTGAAATTGCAAAATGTGATTTATTATTTTACTTTTTTGTCCTCTTAGCCATTTTCAAGCTCTGGACTGTAGTGCTCTGTTGTCCGTCTTTTTTTTTAATCTATATATTTTTTAAAAAGATTTCTGATCCTTCGGTTCTCAGTATGGGACTGGCTGCAGTGCACCCACATAGCCCGCCTCCCGGACTGCATGTACACGCAGTGCTGCGACGACGACGCGTTGACAGAAGTCACTCCCTTCAGGACAGTTTAACTCGATTTACTCCTGTCAGTGCTTCACTTCTGCCTAAACAAAATTAAAAGACAATGTAGCTGAACGGGGTTTGGTTACCCAGCGGATGAAAGGGGTCATTTGCTGGAGGTGATGTCAGGGTGGAAAGTTTCCTGGGTCGTTCTGTTTCTATTTTGATATTTTTCTAAAAAAATTAATAAATAAATGAGCGTATTCAGCTTTTTATAGAACATTTTGAAGTATCAATTGAAAGCAATATGTGATAAAACTGTTTCTTAATCTGAACTTTGATTAAAGACAAGTGACTGATCATCGGGCAGCTCTCCCACAGCAGACATATGACAGGGGTTATGTGGGGAAGGATTTTTAATCTATTTATGTTCATGTAGGCTGTGTGTCATACAATAAATTTGTTTTTTTCTTTTAGATCCTTGAACTCAATTTATTTCAACATATGTGAGCGATTGCTACCGAGGAAGATTTTTAAGCACATCCACGTGAGGGTTTCCCATTTTTATAGGTTCCAATTATTTTTGCTTTACTTCGGTATCAGCTGCAGATTTTCATTTTGCAAATATCCATCTTAAAGAAAAAAGCTAATTAAGTCCATTTTTCTGTATGATTTGTGTTCAAACTAAAGTATTGAATTTGTTAATTTAAACTCCATTATTCCCTGTTGTAGGATAGTTAAAGGCACAGTGTGTAGGATTTTGTCAATTCTTTTAGCCGAAATTGAGATAATAACTAACGACAATAATAAAAACCGTGTCTAATCATTGCAGACAAAGACCTTGTTTTATTATTTTTACCTTATAAAAAGCTGTTTATATCTCCATGGTCGCGTGTCCCCCTACAGGCAGCCGCCATCTTGTCTACGAAGGCTCATGAAGGACAAACTGCGCTGGCGGCGTCAAAAACGGTTTTAGTTGTAATACTATAAATGTAATATTTGTTGTCTGTCATTGTAGCTGGGATAATTTTACTTATTAACGCTCATAATCTTACCACTTGAAACATCACTGGCCCTGAAGCTGCTGGTAGACATCACAGTTGGAATTATCAAAGGTTTTTGACACCTGAGAGACACCGTAGCAACTCCTTTGTGTTTGGAAGCGGGAGGTGGGGGTGGGGGGAGGACCAGGGAAGATGATTTAATCTCTCAACCACTAGATGTCGCTGAAAACAACAAATCCTACACACTGTGCCTTAAATACTGTTTTGAATGTATTGTGTAATTAATGGAAGCCAACAAAAACAGCTCAATGGAATTAGTACTTATAAGCTTTCAAAACCTTCAAATGAAGCCCAGGGTTTATTGAGACATTTTGTTTTTGAACAATCTGTCTTAAATACAGTTAATTAGTTAATTATATTATCTCAGGCTGACCATGTAGACAAGAACAATGTATATTTTTTATTTAGTTATTTTTTTTCCTCCTGATACCTGTCAGGTTGACCCTTAAAACTTTCTTTTTTCTCCCCGAAAGAAAAAGAAGTAACAACATTCAATGTGTTGCTGTAAATAAAAGTAGCTCCAACTGTATGAGAGGTTTCACACAGCCAGATTAATAATCTGGGCCAGCTCTGGCCCACTGTACAGCAATGAATGATGACCAGATATGGTTTGCCAGAGGTGGTCCATGCATGGGCCAACGCAGCATAAACCCAACCACAACTGGGCCAGTTGTGGTTTGCCATATTAAAAATGGTTCCATCATTGCCAGACCTGGCCCACATGACACACTGCTTACCATGTCAGGCCCACACCAGTCTTCTGTGGATTGGTACTCTTCTTTTCAATTTGACCCAAAAATTTCACTGACATTTGAATAATAACATGAAATTGTGTCAGCATGTACATATAAACCGTTTTTCTGTTTAGTTTTTATGAAACTTGATAAATTGCATTTTCAAAAACACAATGTAACTGCTGAAACTGAGTTAAACCTGAAAGGAGGAAAGCAAATGTTTAAAACTGCTAGCTAAAAGCTAAATGTAGCAAAACAGTAGCTAAATGTTACAAATACCTAGCTGAAAGTATCAAAAGGCTAGCTAAAAACTCTTTCTAAGTGGTGTATGTGCTTGATAGTTGTGTGTTCAGTACCTTCAGACACCTGTCTGTAAACAGGCCTTCAGCTGCAGCTGGACAACAAGCTGAAGTCAGTGCAGAGATCATTTAAAATCTTTTGAGCTTAAACCTTTACTAACATAAAACTGATGCCAAAAATATGTTTTCAACTTGTACATTATAGATAAGAGTACCACTTTTATACAAATGTTTGGTGGCTGAAAAATCACACTCAGATATAATTAAAACATTTGCGATTAATAACCTGTTTCTTCTCAGCAGTGTTGTATAAAGTACCACAAAGTGATACTTGAGTAAAAGTACAAGTATCTTACCAAATAAAATACTTTGGTAAAAGTTAAAATCTCCTTTAGGAATATTACTTGAGTAAAATTCTTTAAGTACCTGATATTTTTTGTACTGAAGTAGTTAGATTTTTTGTAATGACATTTATTAGGAGGTGACCTCCCCAAAAAAATGCAGAAATGACTGTATTGTATTAAAATAATTAAGTTATGTCAAGGGTGCCCAAACATTTTCCCCAAAATAAAAATCTATCTGAGCGCTGCAGCCAAATGCAATAATATAATTCATGAAATACAAATACTTCTTAAGTACAGTCCTTTTATTTTAATGATTATGTCCTGCTGGAGTATGACATGATTTATTTGTGTACAAACTAATACTTCCCATTCAACCACAATTAAATTCACTCACAATTTATATGGATAGTATTTTTTTAATATAACAAGCTGGAATGAAAACAAGCAAAAGTGAAATTAAAGTAACAACTCGGCGTCTTTTTCTTTTAATTGTGGTGGTTTGTTGGTTGTTTAGTAGCTGACCTGGTTCAGTGCCCACCTGAGGCTTTGCAGAGGCTTTAGTTCATTAACTCTAGTAGGCTGCAGGTTGATGAGCCAGCAGAGAGACGAGCACACAGGCTGGACAACAACAAGTTCCTCTGTGGCTTTGAAAAACAGATTCTGCTTCAGGTAAAGTCACTGAAGCCTCAAGACAAAGAGGTGAGCATAGATGTTTTATGTGATGTAGTTCTCTGTAAATTTAGGCTGAAATTATTGGTAATTGTAGCTTTTTTTGCCTAGATTTTTGATTGTTTTATTTTCTTCTTCTGCAGTAGTTTAAGTTGATAGATTATCTTCTTGAGAGCCAACGAGTCATGTTTTGTTTTGCTTGTGCTCTTAAAATAATTTGACTCATTTTCATTTAAAATAATATATAACAATTACTTTTTTACTTTAGTCATCAACCCTATATGTCTCCAGTTAAATGTGATTGATTGACAGTTTGGATTGATAATGTCCACATGCAGAATGATCTGCATTGTTTAAATATTAGAAATGTAAATACTGCAGTTAGAAACCTTAAAACTATATTTTTCAAATAGTTTTTATTTTTAATCAGTAGACTGTAAAATGAACTTTACTCATTTCGTATATAAAATTATTACAAGAAAGAAAATATGTGCATTTGATATATTTGAGGGAAAAAAAGCAATAATCTTCCAGCTGACCTGGTGTTAAGCTAACTCAGTAGCTGCTCAGGTTTACATGTTAAAGCACAACACTGCTCATTGATAATGCAGTTTCAGATTACTAAACTGAATGGATATTTTCTCAACTTCACTGTAAAAACAAATGTGTGGTTAGTTCTTTCTACCACCTATTGCACAGTGATTAATCATGTGGATCGCTTCATTAAAGCTTGATCAGTTTTTACTAACTGAGGTGCACAGAACATAATATCTACTGAGAAATGAGGCAGTTAAAACCTGGATTAGGAATCATTCATCCTGGTTTGGAGTTATGTGGGAAGTTGGAGTTTGTGGTGCAGGTGCAGCAGATGGAAGCAGAGTTAAAGGATTACAGTAACTCCTTTAGGAGTGAGTGGAGTCTAACATCCAATTAGAGAGGAGGAGGGAGAGGAGCTCTGTGCTGCTCCTCCATCCGGCCCTGAGTCACATGGGCTCTGTGCTGCAGCTGACTCCTGCCTCCCCTCCTCTCCAGTCTGCACTCAGACTGTGGGACGTGTTGTGGCTGCAGCTCAGTAGGAAACGGGCCTTAGGTACCCGTTCAGTTTGCCATGCTGATCACCTGCTGGTGCCTGTACCTGACGGCCCGGAGCTTCGCCGAACAAAGCAAGTATAGCTGCTGTGTTTGAGTCTGGCTGCGTGTCGTTTCAAGGTGAACTCTGAGGGATCACGTGTGGGACGGAGCTCGGGCTCTATTATTTATGCTGGACTGAAGGCTTTACGTGCTTTCATGAGGAGTTAAAATTCCTCCTTTTTTATTTTTTACAGTTTATTCCTTATGTTTTAGTGTCTGTTATCTATTTTTCATCATATTTTCTTTCTATCTTCTTCTTGTCAACATGGCCTGATTGAAAACCTTCTGTCATTAATTCTTCAATTTCCTCTTCACAGCACTGAGAATGGCTTCAATTGTGCAGAAGCTGATCACCCCACTGGTCATCGGTCCTCCTGAGCCCCCCAGGAACAAAGTGACAGTCGTGGGTGTGGGTCAGGTTGGCATGGCCTGTGCTGTCAGCATTCTGCTCAGGGTAAGACTCAGCATAAGAACCTGGTGCCTGCTCTCACAGTATGTGGTAATACCCAGGATCCTAGACTAACAACAGATTACTCCTCTCTTGGCATCTGATCTTGACCTTTTCTCCTTAATGTTCACAGTAAGAGTGAAAAAAAGGAAAATAGTCATGAAAACAGAAGATTTACAGACTTTCTGAAGACATTTACTCGACTAAAATAGAATAGGTCCTGAAAGTCCTCTTTGTACAGGACTTAGAACACAAACTGTACCTCTAAAACAAAAAAACTTCTTGATTGAAATTGGTTTTGAAAAGGTTTTCAGCCGTCATCTTCAACTGCTGGCCCAGGGGCCGTGTACAAACCACGAGCTTGTTCCGTATGGCCGGCAAAGTTAAACTTTATTCATAAATCAGAGTAAAAACATTTTATGAAAATTCTTTATTATTGTTGAGTGCTGATTGGATCTACTAAAACTGGCTAAAGAAGCTAAAACTTAGCAGAAGTTTAGCTTAAAGGGATCCACGATTAGTTGTGACATTAAACTTTATTTGATAAACATTTATTTTAACTATAAAATAAAGACTGTAAAAATACTGTAGGCTGTTTAGTTTTGTAAATATTTTAAAATATATTTTAACACGGACGGAGCCATTTTATTTACACACAAAGCATTCTGGGTAAATGATGACGTGGATAGGTCCTCGGTGTTAGCGCGCTGTACACCCTGAAGGTTAATCTTGGACAATATCTGACGATTGGCTCTTTTAAATGAAACCAGAGAGCGTTGACAGAGAGGAGAAGGTAGAAATGACTCAGCCTGTAACTGAAAATATGGAGGGAGGACAACAGAGCTGCTTCATAGAAGAAGAACCTCAGCTTAGCCTGTTAGCCTTGGCGCTAGCACCAACGTTATATTGCCTTATATGTATTAGCTCGGCGCAAGTGCGAAAAACAAGCTAAACTGAGGTCCTCCATCCATATTTTCAGTTGCAGGCTGAGTCATTTTAGTGTTCCCCTCTCTGTCATGTGGATGGAGGACCTCAGTGAYGAGAGGAGAATGTGTAGCGCTGAGCTAATACATATATACGGTGATAGCATCGGGGCTAAAGCTAAAGCTAACAGGCTAAGCTGAGGTTCTTCTTCCATGAAGCAGCTCTGTTGTCCTCCATCCATATTTTCAGTTACAGGCTGAGTCATTTCTACCTTCTCCTCTCTGTCAACGCTCTCTGGTTTCATTTAAAAGAGTCGATCATCAGATATTGTCCAAGATTAACCTTCAGGGTGGATATAGCTCGCTAGCAGCCTCGCATCGAGGACCTAGTTGATGTCATCATTTACCCAGAATGCTTTGCGTGTAAATAAAATGACCCCGTCCGTGTAATATATTTTTAAACTTTTAGTTTTAAAATGATAAAAACTGAACATCCTACAGTATTTTTACAGTCTTTATTTTACAGTTAAAATATACATTTATCATATAAAGTCTAATGTTACAACTAGTCGGGGATCCCTTTAAAGCTAAAAAGAGCTAAATGGCTGTGTCTCAATTCAGCGGCTGCAGCTGACACAAAGCACATTACTGCACCATGTGACCATGTCCTATGCTGCCCCAATTCATAGCCACCTACTGCCAATGAAAGTGGATGACAAACCCCAAAAATGTCGGTTGCATCTGAAAGTCTTACGCGGCACCAACAGCAAACTAAACAGAAAAATGAAGACAGCAGAGGGGTACTTTTATTTATTTATTTATTTATTTATTTATTTATTTATTTATTTATTTATTTATAAAGGCAGAGTTTGGAATTTTATCACATACCAAAGAATGTATTTTTAAATATGAGTTTAGCATCTTAGCTGATGGAATTTTTGCTGCAATTAGATGTTGCAATGCAGTTACAAGTACAGATAAGCTAAACCCAAATTATTAATGTTTTTATTTATTTATTTACGATTAACGTTTTTCTAATAATATAGAATGTTGTGATGATATGCCATGAAAGGCATGTCATATAAAGCGTATCACCATGGCAAAGGACAGCACATGCTCAAAAGAAGCTCAAAAGCTGGAGATTTAAGTTACTCAACGTATTTCACCTAAAATTAGACATTTATAGATTTAAATCTAAACCTTTTAGATGTTGAGATGTTTTAATATTTGTTTGTTTTTGTTTCCTTTATTTAAACAGGGTAGTCCCGCGTGGAGACACAGCTGTTTCATTTGAAAGAGAAACCTTTTCTACACAATTAAAACAATACAACCATTAAAAAACATTACTATAAAATATCAATACAAGCAAATCAAATCGTTTCAAACACAAGCTGCACTGAAATAAAAGTACAACTGATAAAACTCACTAGAAACAGAAGCAAGTATTAATGAATGTGATCTCCAGCTTCAAGTAACTAGGTGTTAAACTTTAAAGTCAAGAAGTAAAAGTATCATTTTTAGGTTTTAAAAGTAACAAAATAAAAGTAAAAGTCACGATTTCAAAAAATACTTAGTAAAATTAGAAATCATCAAAAAAGTTCTTAACTACTGTAACAAAGTAAATGTACTTAGTTACTATAAACCTCTGTCCTTTTTACAAAATACTGTTTTTGTTCAATACTTCCTGTTCAACATACTGTTTTTGTTCAATACTTCCTGTTCAACATACTGTTTTTGTTCAATACTTCCTGTTCAACATACTGTTTTTGTTCAATACTTCCTGTTCATCATACTGTTTTTGAAAACCGCTTTAAAACTCTGACAAATAAAAGATGGCCGTCGTGTTGCAGGAGCTGGCTGATGAGCTGGCCCTGGTGGACGTGGTGGAGGACAAGCTGAAAGGAGAGATGATGGACCTGCTGCATGGAAGCCTTTTCCTCAAAACACCTAAAATAGTTGCAGACAAAGGTGGTTTGAAATCTCAGAGTCACTAATAAACTATTCAACATTATACTGACATTTGTTTTTTCCTTTTTTCCCCCTGAGACTACTCGGTCACAGCTAATTCCCGTATTGTTATCGTGACGGCTGGAGTCCGTCAGCAGGAGGGAGAGAGCAGGCTCAACCTTGTCCAGCGAAACGTCAACATATTCAAGCACATCGTCCCCCAGATCGTCCGATACAGCCCTGACTGCATCATCATTGTTGTTTCTAACCCAGGTCCTGTTAACTCTTTTTGTGTCTTTTACGTGTAGTATTCTTCTTTAATACGTCTAATGTTTCTCCTAACAGTGGATGTTCTGACCTATGTCACCTGGAAACTGAGTGGCCTCCCCAAACACCGCGTCATCGGCAGTGGCACCAACTTGGACTCTGCACGCTTCCGGTTTCTGATGGCCGAAAAACTGGGGATCCACTCCAGTAGCTTCAACGGCTGGATCCTGGGAGAGCATGGAGACACCAGCGGTGAGGATTAGGACAAAGAAACGATCCGATAAGTCACCAACACGTGACAGTTAGTGCTGTGATTGTGTGGGCTGTATTTGGATAAAGGTTGATAATTGTTTTGTGTGTGTGTGTTAGTGCCTGTGTGGAGCGGAACTAACGTGGCCGGAGTTAACCTGCAGACGTTAAACCCAAACATCGGCACTGAATTTGATGAGGAGAACTGGAAAGAGACTCACAAGATGGTGGTGGACAGGTAGGCTGCAGGTCACTGAACGAGCCCATTATGGTTCTTCTAAGGTTCAAATGGTGACAGAATGACCGGGTCTGTTTTAATACACCAGGGCTGTTTAACAAAACTGCTCAGGGGTCCACAGTTGCTCACAACCAACAACTCAGGGACCAACAGTGATAGAGGAAACACTGCATAAAATAAAAAACAAATACAACTTTTAAATGCGTTTATTTTTGCTCCATTTAATCATTAATTCAAAAATATTGTATTTGTATTTAAGCAAATGTATTTATTTTAAAGAACTAATTAGTGGGCCAAATTTAAGCCACCTGTGAGCAGGAAGTGGCCCACTGGCCACCAGTTGAACAGCCCTGTGGTATACAGTTTCATACAAAAAATTGTGATATACATAAATATAATTTTTAAATCACCTTTTCCTTGTCTGTTTTTTTTATTGTAGTTTAAAATAACAAAGATAAAAATCTTCAGTCTGTGTTTTCAGAAAGACTTGAAATTCTGAGCTTTTCAGAAACACTGATGCCTCTTTTGCTCGTGGCCACTTTCACTTTTAACATAACCTAAAATAGCAATGCAGCCTGCAGTTTTTTATTTATTATTTTTTTGCGTGTCTGTCTTCTTTTTTATTCTGATCATGCTGTATTCATAAACTATGTGTCCTGAAATAATAAGCGAAAGGAAAAACAATCATTTAAAGAAAAAGCTAAAATGGTTATGAGAAAACCTATTCACAAATAATCAGTGTTGTACAAAGTACCTGAAAGTGATACTTGAGTAAAAGTAAGTATTGTCATAGAATTACTTTGGTAAAAGTAAAAGTCTCTTCTGAGAATATTACTTGAGTAAAAGTCTTAAAGTATCGGATTTATTTTGTACTTAAGTATCAAAAGTAAATTTCTGACATAAAATGTGCTGAAGTAATAAAAGTAAAAGTATTTAGTAAAAATGAATTGTTAGGTTTTCCAAAATACGTTTATTGGGAGGTGACCTCTCCAAAAATTAGTTTTTCTAAAGGCGTGCAGCTGTGATGGATTGGATACCAACTAAATACAGTATCAGAATGGAAAACAGTATATTTATTCTTCTCATCCAACTACATTAAAATTCACTGTATCCAGGAGCCACAATTTTGAGGATAGTATTTATTTAACAATAACAAACCGAAATGAGATAGGAGGAAACAACTTTCTACTTCATGCCTTTTTAAAAAATGTAAGGAGTAGAAAGTAAAAAGTAGGCTGAAAAATAATTATTCAAATAAAGCACAGTTAACCAAAATTTCTACTTAAGTACAGTAACGAAGTATTTGTACTCAGTTACTTTACAACTCTGCAAATAATCTAAATATTTTGGATAGCTCTTCGACGACACGAAACAACTGGGATTGAGTCGCAGACGTTATACAAGCCATTCTGTTTTTCCTCCTTGTGATTGTCTTGTCCTCCTCAAACACACACACACACACACACACACACA